AACAGGATTAGTGGCAACAAATTTTTCATGTAAGTGCCGTCCCGTACAGGCTGCCCAGCTTAGTCTATCATAAAGAATGTAGGAAGCCTGGTGGATGCTGCTATTTTTATCTTGGCCCTTTGGTATCCGGCATCTAATTATTCAATTCGCAAAGTACACTTCATGCTGCAATGTTTATTTTGTCTGCAGAGAAAAAAGTCTTTTTGAAATTTTTGTGGATTTTACTGGTTGCGGAATGTTCATGTTTTAGCAGGTGACTATTTGAGCATGTTAAAATTGCCTTGGTATAGCAAGGGATACTGTTGGTGGAAGCAATACTTTATTATTATTATACTTTAAGTTCTGGATACGTGTGCAAAATGTGAAGGTTTGTTACATAGGTATACACGTGGCATGGTGATTTGCTGCACCCATGAACCCATCATCTACACTAGGTATTTTTCCTAAAGCTGTCCCTCCCCTAATCCCCACCCCTCGACAGGCCCCAGTGTGTGATGTTCCCCTCCCTGTGTCCATGGGTTCTCATTGTTTAACTCCCACTTATGAGTGAGAACATGTGGTGTTTGGTTTTCTGTTCCTGTGTTAGTTTGCTGAGAATGATGGTTTCCAGCTTCATCCATGTCCCTGCAAAGTTCATGAACTCACCCTTTTTATGGCTGCATAGTATTCCATGGTGTATATGTGCCACAGTTTCTTCATCCAGTCTGTCACTGATGGGCATTTAGGCTGGTTCAAGTATTTGCTACTGTGAATAGTACTGAAGGAAACATACATGTGCCTGTGTCTTTATAGTGGAATTATTTATAATCCTTTGGGTATATACTCAGTAATGGGATTGCTGGGTCAAATGGTATTTTTGGTTCTAGATCCTTGAGAAATTGCCACACTGTCTTTCACAATGGTTGAACTAATTTACACTGCCATCAACAGTATAAAAGCATTCCTATTTCTCCACATCCTCTCCAGCATCTGCTGTTTCCTGACCTTTTAATGATCGCTATTCTAACTGGCATGAGATGATATCTCATTGTGGTTTTGAATTGCATTTCTCTAATGACCAGTGATGATGAGTCTTTTCATGTTTGTTGGCCGCATAAATGTCTTCTTTTGAGAAATGTCAGTTCATATCTTTTGCCCACTTTTTGATGGTGTTTCTTTTTTCTTCTAAATTTAAGTTTCTTGTAGATTCTGAATATTAACCCTTTGTCAGATGGATAGATTGCAAAATTTTTCACCCATTCTGTAGGTTTCCTGTTCACTCCGATGATAGTTTCTTTTGTTATGCAGAAGCTCTTTAGTTTAATTAGATCCCACTTGTCAATTTTGACTTTTCTGTCATTGCTTTTGGCATTTTCGTCATGAAGTCTTGCCCATGTCTATGTCCTGAATGATATTGCCTAGGTTTCCTTCAAGGGTTTTTATGATTTTGGGTTTTACATTTAAGTCTTTATTCCATCTTGAGTTAATTTTTGTATAAGGTATAAGGAAGAGGTCCAGCTTCAGTTTTCTGCATGTGACTAGTCAGTTTTCCCAATACCATTTATTAAATAGGCAATCCTTTCCCCATTGCTTGTTTTCGTAAGGTTTGTCAAAGATCAGATGATTGTAGATGTGTGGCATTATTTCTGAAGCCTCTGCTCTGTTCCATTGGTCTATATATCCGTTTTGGTACCAGTACCATGCTGTTTTGGTTACTGTAGTTTTGTTGTATAGTTTGAAGTTAGGTAGCATGATGCCTCCAGCTTTGTTCTTTTTGCTTAGGATTGTCTTGGCTATACTGGCTCCTTTTTGGTTCCATATGAATTTTAAAGTAGTTTTTCTAATTCTGTGAAGAAAGTCAATGGTAGCTTGATGGGGATAGCATTGAATCTATTTGGGCAGTATGACCATTTTTACAATATTGATTCTTCCTATCCATGAGCATGGAATGTTTTACCATTTGTTTGTGTCCTCTGTTATTTCCCTGAGCAGTGGTTTGTAGTTCTCTTTGAAGAGGTCCTTTACATCCCTTGTAAGTTGTATTCCTAGGTATTTTATTCTCTTTGTAGAAATTGTGAATTGGGGTTGACTCATGATTTGGCTCTCCGTTTGTCTATTATTGGTGTATAGTCATGCATGTGATTTTTGCACATTGATTTTGTATCCTGAGATTTTGCTGAAGTTGCTTATCAGCTTAAGTACATTTTGGACTGAGACGATGGGGTTTTCTAAATATACAATCATGTCATTTGCAAACTGAGACAATTTGACTTCCTCTCTTCCTATTTGAATATGCTTTATTTCTTTCTCTTGCCTTATTGCCCTGGCTAGAAGTTCCAATAATATGTTGACTAGGAGTGGTGAGAGAGGGCATCCTTGTCTTGTGCCAGTTTTCAAAGAGAATGCCTCCATCTTTTGCCCGTTAGTATGTTATTGGCTGTGGATTTGTCATAATTGTCTTATTATTTTGAGATACGTTCCATCAATACCTAGTTGATTAAGGGTTTTTAGCATGAAGAGGTGTTGAATTTTATCAAAGGCTTTTTCTGTATCTATTGAGATAATCATGTGATTTTTGTCATTGGTTCTGTTTATGTGATAGATTATGTTTATTGATTTGTTATGTTGAACCAACCTTGCACCCCAGGGATGAAGCTGACTTGATCGTAACGGATAAGCTTTTTGATGTTCTGCTGATTCAGTTTGCCAGTATTTTATTGAGGATTTTCACATTGATGTTCATCAGGAATGTTGACCTGAAATTTTCTTTTTTTATTGTGTCTCTGCCAGGTTTTGGTATTAGGATGATGCTGACCTCATAAAGTGAGTTAGGGAGCATTCCCTCTTTTTCTATTGTTTGGAATAGTTTCAGAAGGAAGGGTACCAACTCCTCTTTGTACCTCTGGTAGAATTTGGCTGGGAATCCATCTGGTCCTGGGCTTTTGTTTTGGTTGGTAGGCTATTTATTACTGCCTCAATTTTAGAACTTGTTATTGGTCTATTCAGGGATTCAACTTCTTCCTGGTTTAGTTTTGGGAGGGTGTACATGTCCAGGAATTTATGCATTTTTTCTAGATTTTCTAGTTTATTTGCGTAGAGATACTTATAGTATTCTCTGATGGTAGTGGGATCAGTGGTGATACTCCCTTTATCATTTTTTATTGTGTCTATTTGATTCTTCTCTTTTTCTTCTTTATTAGTCTGGCTAGCAGTCTTACCTAATTTGTTAATCTTAAAAAAAAAAAAAAACAGCTCCTGGATTCACTGATTTTTTTCAGGGGTTATTTGTGTCTCTATCTTCTTTAGTTCTGCTCTGATCTTAGTTATTTCTTGTCTTCTGCTAGCTTTTGAATTTGTTTGCTCTTGCTTCTCCAGTTCTTTTAGTTGTGATGTTAGGGTGTCAATTTTAGATCTTTCTTGTGTTCTCCTGTGGGCATTTAGTGCTGTACATTTCCCTCTAAATAGTGCTTTAACTGTATCCCAGAGATTCTGGTATGTTGTGTCTTTGTTCTCATTGGTTTCAAAGAACTAGTTATTTCTACCTTCATTTTATTATTTACCCAGTAGATATTCAGGAGCAGATTGTTCAGTTTCCATGTAGTTGTGCCGTTTTGAATGAGTTTCTTATTCCTGAGTTCTAATTTGATTGCACTGTGGTCTGAGAGACTGTTTGTTATGATTTCTGTTCTTTTGCATTTGCTGAGGAATGTTTTACTTCCAAATATGTGGTCAATTTTAGAATAAGTATGATGTGGTGCTGAGAAGAAAGTATATTCTTTGATTTGGGGTGGAGAGTTCTGTAGTTGTCTATTAGGTCCACTTGGTCCAGAGCTGAGTTCAAGTCCTGAATATCCTTGTTAATTTTCTGTCTTATTGATCTGTCTAAAATTGACAATGGGGTGTTAAAGTCTCCCACTCTTATTGTGTGGGAATGTAAGTCTCTTTGTAGGTCTCTAAGTCCTTGTGTTATAAATCTGGGTGCTCTTGTATTGCGTGCATATATATTTAGGATAGTTTGCTCTTCTTGTTGCATTGATCCCTTTACCATTATGTAATGACCTTCTTTGTCTTTTTTGATCTTTGTTGGTTTAAAATCTGTTTTATCAAAGACTAGGATTGCAATCTCTGCTGCTTTTTTTTTTTCTTTCCATTTTCTTGGTAAATCTTTCTCTGTCCCTTTATTTTGAGCCGATGTGTGTCTTTGCACGTGAGATGGGTTTCCTGAATATAGCACACTGATGGGTCTTGACTCTTTCTCTAATTTGCCAGTTGATGTCTTTTTTTGGGGGCATTTAGCCCATTTATATTTAAGGTTAATATTGTTTTGTATGAATTTGATCCTGTCGTTATGATCCTAGCTGGTTATTTTGCCCATTAGTTGGTGCCATTTCTTCATAGTGTCAATGGTCTTTACAATTTGGTATGTTTTTGCAGTGGCTGGTACTGGTTTTTCCTTTCTGTATATAGTGCTTCCTTCAGGAGCTCTTATACAGTGGTGACAAAGTCTCTCAGCATTTGCTTGTCTGTAAAGGATTTCATTTCTCCTTCGCTTATAAAGCTTAGTTTGGCTGAATATGAAATTCTGGGTTGAAAATTCTTTTCTTTAAGAATGTTGAATATTGGCCCCCACTCTCTTCTGGCTTGTACGGTTTCTGCAGAGAGATCTGCTGTGAATCTGATGGTCTTTCCTTTGCGGGTAGCCCAACCTTTCTCTCTGGCTGCCCCTAACATATTTTCTTTCATTTCAACCTTGGTTAGTCTGACAATTATGTGTCTTGGGGTTGCTCTTCTTGAGGAGTATCTTTGTGGTGTTCCCTGTATTTCTGAATTTGAATGTTGGTTGGGGAAGTTCTCCTGGATAATATCCTGAAGAGTGTTTTCCAAGTTGGTTCCACTGTCCCCATCACTTTCAGGTACACCAATCAAACAATGGTTTGGTCTTTTCCCATGGTCCCATATTTCTTGGAGGGTTTGTTCATTCTTTTTCGTTCTTTTTTCTCTAATCTTATCTTCATGCTTTATTTCATTAAGTTGATCTTCAATCTCTGATATCCTTTCTTCCATTTGATCAGTTTGGGTATAGATAACTGTTTATGCCTCACAAAGTTTCCGTGCTGTGTTTTTCAGCTCCATCAGGTCATTTATGTTCTTCTCTAAACTAGTTATTCTAGTTAGCAATTCCTCTGACCTTTTTTTCAAGGTTCTTAGCTTCCTTGCATTGGGTTAGAACATGTGCCTTTAGCTCAGAGAAGTTTGTGATTACCACCTTCTGAAACCTTCTTCTGTCAATTCCTCAAACTCATTCTCCATCTAGTTTTATTCCCTTGCTGGCAAGGAGTTGTGATCCTTGGAACGTTTAAGTCTGCTGAAGCTGTGCCCATAGCCACCCCTTCCCCCAGGTGCTCTGTCCTAGAGAGGTAGAAGAAGTTTTATCTATAAGACCCCGACTAGGGCTGCTGCCTTTCTTTCAGAGATGCCCTGCCCAGACAGGAGGAATCTAGAGAGGCAGTCTGGCTACAGCAGCTTTGCCGAGCTGTGGTGGGCTCCACAAAGTTTAAACTTCCCAGCGTCTTTGTTTACACTGTGAGGGGAAAACCACCTACTCAAGCCTCAGTAATGCGGACACTTCTCCCCCCACCAAGCTTGAGCATCCTAGCTTGACTGCAGACTACTATGCTGGCACTGAGAATTGCAAGCCAGTAGATCTTAGTTTGCTGGGCTCTGTGGGGGTGGGATCCACTGAGCTAGACCGCTTGGCTCCCCGGCTTCAGCCCCCTTTCCAGGGGAGTGAATGGTTCTGTTTCACTGGCAGTCCAGGTGCCACTGGGGTATGAAAAAAAACTCCAGCAGCTAGCTCAGTGTCTCCCCAAATGGCTGCCCAGTTTTGTGCTTGAAACCCAGGGCCTTGGTGGTGTAGGCACCCGAGGCAATCTCCTGGTCTGAGGGTTGTGAAGACCATGGGAAAAGCATAGTATGTGGGCCAGAAAGGACTGTTCCACATGGCACAGTCCCTCAAGACTTCCCTGGGCTAGGAGAGGGAGTTTCCTCACCCTTTGCACTTGCCAGGTGAGGTGACACCCCACCCTGCTTTGACTCACCCTCCATGGGCTGCACCCACTGTTTAACCAGTCCCAGTGAGATGAGCCTGGTACCTCAGTTGGAAATGCAGAAATCACCCACCTTCTGCATTGATCTTGCTGGAAGCTGCAGACCGGAGCTGTTGCTGTTCAGCCATCTTGCCAACCACCAGTAGGAGTATTACAGTCTTCTGGTGGGACTCTGTTTAGATTTCTGGAACAGCCATAAAAGAAAAATAATTTCATGCAATGAAGCCAAGTGAAAAAGATGCTCAGTGAAAAGCAACTTTTTAAAACTGGTAAAGTTTTAAAATGTTACTTTTGAAATAAAGAGGTGGTCTTTGCATACAGCAGCTCCCTAAGGGTCAGGAGACAGATGAGTAGTGGTGTAGGGATCAGAAACAGTAAGTGATGGACAGTTTTATTTTACAGCTGTGATTCATAATCTATTAGTCTTCTTTAATAATAGCATGTGCTTAGGGAGAAATTTTATTTTTAAATGGCTTAAATCTCAATGACAATATGGTCTCCCATATACATGCTCCATTTGCCTGGTATTATTGGGGAATGAAGTTCTCCCCACAAGAAAATCTGTTAGATATTCAATTAAAAACCAGAAAATTAATTAGTTATGAGCTATTAGGAACTGAGAAGTTTCCAACATTGATTTGGTCATTCATTTATTCAACAAATGTGTATTAAACACTCATTCCATGCATTACACGGTACCTACTAGTGAGGAATATAGCGGCAAAAAAACACAGGCAAGATTCCTGTCTGCGTGGAATTCAAATTCTAGGAGGGGCAGACAATAGAAAAGAAACAAGGGAACAAGATAATTATCTTGCAAAAAGCTCTAAGTCCTGGAAGGAAAAGAACAGAGTGACATGATGATAAACTGGATAGTAGAGTAGCCCTGGGTGGCTGTTTTAGCCTGAACATTAAAGAAATCCTCTCTGTGATTGTAGCACTTGAGTCGAACCTGAAGGGCAAGAAGGAGCCAGCAGTGGTAAGATCTGGGTAGAACATTCCTGGCAGAGGCTCTCAGGCAGGAATAATCTTGGTAGCCTTAAAAAACTAGTTTTGGAGTATACTTCTTAATGTATACTAAACATAAATTTTTACTTTTATTGATGACTCACACCTTCTATCCTTTGTTAACCCATCTCCTGGTGGTGTTATTTTGCTGATTAGCATCTCAGTGGATCATCCTCAAAAAACCCTCCGTCCCTTCTTGCTAGTGTAACCTAGGAAGAAACAAAGAGGTCCCTGACAGACAAGATTGTTGTATCAATAGGCTCAATTTACACACATGCTCCAAATCTGGGGATGGGACAGCAAAGAGGAAGCTATGGGCCCTTTGAGGGTTAACCTGTATGGGTCCCATTCCTTTCTCCTTGCCTGGAATTTAAAGTTCAGTTCCCAGGTAATGGATCCAGATGCTTAGGGTTAATGTCTTTCACCTCCTGCCTCCTCCATCTCCTTATTGCCAATTCCTTTAACTTTTCTTTGTTAGTCTTTAAGAACTGTGGCCTGCCTCTAGATCTTTGTCCCAGAGAGTTAATAGGATGAGTGGACCCATGCAAGCTCTTTCTCTTCCGTCATTACCATGCACTAGGACTTAGTAGTGATAGCCTTCAGTAGACATAGACTCTTTCCCAGCTTTTTCTCCTCTACTTCTATTAAAGGAGGCTATGAAGATTTTTTAAAAGAGTCTAGATGACTTGAGGGATCCCATTTTTAACTCATAAAAGGTGAACAAATTTGCTGGCATTTTCCAGTGAGATGTTAATGGATGAAAGTTATTCAAAACTTTGTCTAGGCCGGGCGCGGTGGCTCACATCTGTAATCCCAGCACTTTGGGAGGCCAAGGTGGGCGGATTACAAGGTCAGGAGATTGAGACCATCCTGGTCAACATGGCGAAACCCCCTCTCTACTGAAAATACAAAAATTAGCTGGGTGTGGCAACTAGTGCCTGTAATTCCGGCTACTTGGGAGGCTGAGGCAGGGGAATCGTTTGAACCTTGGAGGCTGAGGTTGCCGTGAGCTGAGATCGTGCCACTGTACTCCAGTCTGGTGACAGAGTAAGACTCTGTCTCAAAAAAACACTTTGTCTAAGGCATTTGGTATGTGGAAAACATTTAGACATTGACTACAAATAAGATTTTCTCAATATTTTCTTAAAGTAAATACAAATTTTCTGCTTGGTTCAGATGATAATGTGTTATCTAGTTGTAACTCTGGTACCTCCAGATCAGCTTCTTTTACTGATTTATTCATTTGTTTGTTTAATTTTATTTTTTTAGAGATGGAGTCTCACTATGTAGCCCTGGCTGTAGTACAGTGACATGATCATAGCTCACGGCAGCCTCAACCTCCTGGGCTCAAGCCATCCTCCTGCCTCAGCCTCCCAAGTGTCTGGGATTACAGTCACACACCACCACACCTGGCTAATTTTTTTTTCTTTTTTTTTTTTTTTTTTTGTGGAGATGGGGTCTTTCTGTGTTATGCAGGCTGAACAGCTTCTTCTTATGGTGCTGCCAGAATATTGGAGAGTTGGTAAAAGAACAAATTGACCAAACAGGTGTGATTGTGTGAGTTGAGGATGAGACATGATCTTTTATTGTTAAGATAGTCACTATTTCACAATTGAAAATCTAGTCACTATTTCACAACTGAAAATTCCCCTCTTCTCTACACCCACTAATTAAGCTACTTTTCTATTTAATATTTAAAATAAAATATTTTAGCTTTGTGGAGGCCTTGGGACTTCCCCAGTGCCACAGAATGTAAAGTGCCTTTTCATACCTCTAGGCTGGGGAAACCCCACTCTGGGCAAAGAGCCAATTTTAGACCCAGCGGCTTATTAAGGAGATTCAGAATCTAAAGGAGTCACAAACAGACAATAACAGGAAGGAGACAAATACAGGAAAATGACACCTGAAACTGGCTCTCTGGCCAAGTTTACAGTTATCTCAATATCTTAGAAAGAGACAGTGGATTAGTGGATGAGGCATTGTGGAATTGGGAAAGGATGTTAGTTCTAATTTGTGGAAGAGAATTTTATGAATAAAAATCATCAGAAGAAGATTAGGCTAGTTTGAAAATGACCCAAACAGATGCTATTTGGGCTGTGAGAGAAAAACATTCTAAAAACCTCCGTGGTCACAAGTCTTGGAAACAAAACCCAACTCTAATTTTGGAAAAGGCTCTTAGAAAGCATCTGATCCATCCTCTGACTCCAGCTGGAGGAATGTCTCCCAGGGGTTCCTGACCGATGGTCACCCGACTTCTACCATGCCCTTGTGGTGCTGGAGCACCCATTGTTGACACACACGGTGAGTCAGCCATCCCTTGGCTGGCCAGGAAGGTTGGTAAAAAAAGTTCTTGATGTGGAGATGAATCTGGCTTCTTCTATTATGCAGCCAGAGTCTGTTTTGTTTTGTGTTGTTTTGTTTTGAGATGGAGTCTCACTCTGTTGACCAGGCTGGAATGCAATGGTGTGGTCTTGGCTCACTGCAATCTCTGCCTCCTGGGTTCAAGTGATTCTCCTGCCTTAGCCTCCCAAGTAGCTGGGATTACAGGTGCCTGCCACCATACTTGGCTAATTTTTGTATTTTTAGTAGAGACAGGGTTTCACCATGCTGTCCAGGCTGGTCTCGAACTCCTGACCTCAGGCAATCCACCAGCCTCAGCCTCCCAAAGTGCTGAGATTACCACACCTGGCCCCAGAGTTCTTTCCTTTTATATACAACATGCCTTCCCTCCCTTTCTGATTACTTATTCCAAATATTTGAAGGCAACCAACCATCCTATGACACCTAGGTTTTTCTCTTCTCCAGTTAAGCATATCAGATATTCCCCTTTTCTCAAGTTTCTGGCTTTCACTCTTCTGGTCACCCTTTTCTGGGCTGACTTAGTTTGTGGAGGTTCGTTGTGAAACTCAGGCCTGGGAAGGAAACATAATCCTCTGGATGGAGTCACTGAGGCCCCTACACCAAAGTGTGTGGGGACAATGACACTATCTGTTGATACGGATTAAGACTGTTTGCTTTTTTTAGTATCCATACTGCCCTGGTGGCTTATATTGAATTTGTGGTCAAGCAAGA